GTATACCAAACTTCCACTTCTCCCTTCCCAAACTTTGTTTTTGTTTATTGTACATTTTACTTTTGAGTTTTAAATCCCAAACTAGATTGTTTTGACTTTTGTTTAAACAGTCAATTATATTTTAACGATATTCAAATAATAAGAAAACATCTCATATATTTATCTACGTAGTTACCATTTCCAATGCTTTTCATTCCTTTGTATAGATCTTCATTTTTACCTAGTATCATTTGCCTTCTTTCTAAATAATTTTATTTTTACATTTCTAATAGTGTGGATTTATTAGTGACAAAATCTTGTAGTTCTACTATTTCTGAATAATTTTTTATTTTGCTTTTTTTGAAAGATATTTTTGCTTGGAGTAGATTGACAGGTATATTATTTTCAGTACTTTTTTTGGTTATTCTACCGTCGTCTCACTTGAACTGTTCTTGACATCATCCTTATCCTTATCTTTTTTTCTATTTCATGTAATGTATCCTTTTTCTTCCAGCTATTTTCAGTGTTTTGTCAGAGATTTTGAACAATTTGGTTGTGATTTGCTTTGTTATAATTTTCTTCATGTTTCTTGTGCTTGGTGTTCACCAACTGTCTTTGAACCGTGTTTGTGGTTTTCATCAAATTTGGAACAATTTTGGTCATTATTTCTTCAAATCATTTTTCTGTCCTACCTCTCTCCTCTACATTGGAGGTTCCAATTACACATATATTAGGCCACTTAAAGTTGTCCCATTGCTCACTGATTCTGTTCATTTTTCAAAATTGTCTTTTATCTCTGTGTTTCACTTTCCATGGCTTCTATTATTATGTCTTCAAGTTTACTAATATTTTTTCTTCAGCAATGTTTAATTTGCCATTAATTCCATCTAGTATATTCTTGATCTCACATACTGTAGTTTTTACTTCTAGAAGTTTGATTTCGGTGTCTTATGTCTCTACTTAACTTTCTGAGTATGTGAAAGGCAACTGTAATATCATTTTTAAATGTCTTTGCAACATCTACGTCAATTTGGGGTCAGTTTTGACTGATTGACGGATCCCTTCATTATAAGTCATATTTTCTTGCTCCTTTGCATGCCTCATAATTTTTTATTGAACATGAGACATTGTGATTTTTATGTTGTTGAGAGCTGGATTTTTTTTTTTTTTGTATTCCTATAAATATTCTTAAGCTTTGTTCTGGGACAAAATTAAATTAATCAGAAAGAGCTTGACTCTTGAGTGTTGCTTTTGAGCTCTGTTGGGTGAAACTGGAACAGTGCTCAGTCTGAAGAGAACATTCCCCACTACAGAGGCAAGGTCCTGTGTAGATTACTCAATGCTTGGTGATTTCTGCAATTTTTCCAGTCTGGCTGGTGGGAACAGGCACTATTTCCAGCTGGTGTGTATTCTGGGCACTGTGAGCACTAATCCTTTCTTTGATTCTTTTCCTGGCTTTGGGCATGTTTCTCATGTTCATATGCAGATTAGTTGTCGGCTGAAGATCTGAGGGCATGCTCTGCAGCCTCTCTGTGCTGCTCTCTCCTCTCCGATCACTGCCCTGGAAGCTCCAGACCTCTCTGTCACAGACTCTAATCTCCAGGTCCTCACTGCAGAGAGCCTGTGGGGCTCCTCCACCTGGTTACCTGCTTCCCTTTGCCAGTGCCTACAACGTCTCTCGTGAATCAGTCCTTGGTTGTCTGGTATCTTGAAAACTGTTGTTTTATATATTTGGCTTTTTAAATTTGTTTCATGTGGGAGGGTAACTCCCGTCCTCATCACTTCAGATTGGCCATAAGCAGAAGTCTAGCTCAATCTTTTAAACACAAAAATATGACTATGTCTATTATTCAACACCCTTTAATGGGCCCCACTGCCCTTAGGATAAACATCTAAATTCCTGACATGGTCTAGAAGAACCTCCATGCTCTGTCCTGCTTAGCTTTTCAGCTTCACTGCGGGTCTTTCTTTGCTCCTGCACCCTATCCATATTCCAGTGTCCAGGGGCCCCTGGCTTTGGCAGGCCAGGAGCTCCCCATGCTTCCCCTTCCTGAGTGCTTCCCACACTCTCCTACTGTTGCATGCTGAGCTCTACCCACTTTTCAGATTTAAAGGACAGTGTGCCTCTGCAGGGAACTGTCATCTACACACTGGACTTCTCCTTCTTCCATACCTTTGCTTTAGTCATGTCACAGCTAAATAAAGTTTCCCAAAACAAAGAGTTACGCTCTTCCTCATTGCCAGGTCGTTGCTCATGCTGGTTCCTCTGCTCAGAATCTCTTTTCTGTTTTGTCTCAGACACTTCCTATTTGTCCTTTAAGATTCAAGGCATTATCACCTCCTCTTGAAAACTTTCCATATGCCTTACCCCTAATCCTCCTCCTATTTTCCTCCCCAGTTGGAATGAATTCCCTCCTTCATGCTTTCCTAATACCTAAGCAGGCCTCCTTTGCTGCGCTTTACCAAACCCACCACAGAACTTTGTTTTCTAGTCATTCTCTCTAACTGGGGTGGAAATGGGGCTTGTCTGGTTCTCCTCCATTTCCAGACCCCTGCAGGGTGCCTTGCCTGTATCTAGCTCCTTCTCAGTGCTTCTTTGCTGATGAATTCATGGCTCTGCTGGGCTTTTGCTCCTACTAAGCATAGACAGGAGTGTGCAAGGAACACTGGCACTTTACAGGGGGTGCTCTGCCCTTGGGAAAGGAGTTACATTAATCAAGCAGAACAAATCATATTGGATGCTATGACCAATGCAATTAAGCCTTTGTCAAACTGCCTGACTTTGGCTCGAGATGAGAACATTGATGAAATGCCTCCCACCCGCCAGGGTTGGGGTCTGCTGAAATGGGCAATTACTGCGGGGAACAATCCATTACTTGGACTGTCAACAGTGTTTTTTCTCTCTCTAAATGCAGAATGAAGTGGAAAATGCCGCGGGAACTCAGTGGCATTTAATTTACTGATATGGCTCGGTAGGAGCCATTCTTTAACCTGGCTGTGACAGCAATAGCGTGGGGACAAGTGCTGGGCTGGGATGCATGGGGGAGCCGTTTAACCATCCCGTGCCTTGCTCTCCCCGTGTGTAACATTAAACTGATGGAAGAGAATGCTCATGGCACCCTCGTGGTTACTATGGTGATGGAGGACTGAGACACAATGTTGCACGGCCCCACAGCCTTGCCAATTTCTTTTGATACTGCTTGTTATTCCACAGAGGGAGAAGTGACTGGCAGGACTCCATTTCTTCTTTGAATTGGGAACGTTTCTAGCAAGGCTTGGTGTGGAAAGACCATTATACTGGCTATTCTGGGCAGACAACTCAGGGTCACTGCACTGGGATGCTGACTCACCGTGATGAGTAAGGCCACTCACCCTTTCTAGTGCTGGTGCATGTGGAAACATTTGTACAGCACGCCCGGCTGATTGGATGAGATGTTTAAAACCAGAAGGGACCTGGCCTGGGACTTTTGCTCCCCTGGTCCTGCCTGGGTGCTCCAGGGGCCAAACAGATAAGCATATTGGCTGCCTCTGACCAGTCAGGGAGCACGACTTCAGATCACCAGATCACTTGCCAACTGCAATGACTGTATCCCCAGCTAGAGGCTACCAGAAAACACAGATCCACGTAACCCATGCTGAAGGATGGCTGATCAGAAGGTCATGGGTTGCAGGGTGCGCTTGGGCACCCGGTAATATTGCTGCAGATTCTTTCCCAGGGCCCTGGAGCCAGGGTTGCGAAAACAAAGCATCATTCTTGGCTAATTTAAGTAAAAAAGATACTAGTAGAGACTTACAGAATCTCTGCGATGGCAGAGTAGGTCTTGAAGGCTCTGACACCAGGGTAGTGCTCAGACCACCCATGAATCTTTCCTAGTGCTAAATTACCCACTGCTTGACAGGTAAACCACCAGCACTGGGCACCTGAAGTCCACCTGCACCCACTGATGGTGCCAGACACCAGGCACCCAAAGTCCACCTGAACCCAGTGATGACGCTGGGCACTGGGTACCTGAAGTCCACCCTGCACCCACTTGGGTGGGCAAGTAGATGACAGACATTTACCCCTTGTCCCATCAGCTAAGCCAAAGAAGGAAATATGGCCTCTGCTGTGCTAAGTGTTGTCTCCTCTTTCCACACTTGAGAAGCTGCTTCTTTCTGGACACTTCGAATGGGTCATTGTGTTGGTTGGTTGAAGAAATAGTACATTTTATTGCTTCCATGAATTTACATTATTTTTGCCCTTTAAGCCTCACTGTGAGAAAAAGAGATGATTTCTGAGGACAGAGTTGGGGTGGGAAGAGATATTCTGTGTTACGCCCTCCTGTCCCAGGGTACTCAGCATCATGCCAGCGTCACTGGCTCCACCGTGGTGGAAGATGCCGTGGCATGGGCTCCCAGATCAGCCTGCGAATCCAGCATCAGCTGTTCTTATTAGCTCAACACTAAGCCACCAACCAAGATGTGCTTACCTTCTTTATGCCCTTAAGGTCCACCCCATAATTTCTTTTCATCTCACAACATCCCGGGGCCAAACTGGTTTTCCTTAACTTTCTCCAGCTGCCATGAAGGCGAAGGATCAACAGCTGTCATTCCTCCTGCCTCAGAGCACTTCAGAAAGGGAAGAGTCTGGACCCGAGTGTACCCCAGCCCTGTCTTGTGAGATGCCGCCTAGCTGGGAAGCCCTGCAGGGCGGCAGATGGAAGACCCATGTGGCTGGCTCGCAGTCATTCACAGGGGAGGCATCTGAAAGTGCCGGTGTTAATCTTATTAGCCCACGAGGCCCTCTTGCCACAATGAAATGTGTAAATATTTGTAAATTAACTTCAGCTGCCCGGATGGGTAACATGATAAGGCAAGTGAACTTCCCAGAGATCAGACGTTCATGAGCATGACAAGCACATACCACCAGCCGCACATGCACTGCTGGAGCCTTGGGCCAAGATGTGTCTCACAAGCATGTCCCAGGAAGCCCCACTGTTGATGCCCTGCAGGGTGAGGCCCCTGTGAGTCTGGGAATGTACCTGTTGAAATGGTGCTCCGGGCTTGGCTGGCCACTGGCTGGGCTGAGTGCCGCAGACAGCTGCCTGTTGGGGGCGAGGCTGTGGGGTGCTGGGCGTGGGCCTGGGGAGTGGTGATGGGCAGGGCAGGCCTGGTGGCGGTGGCCAGGCTGCTCAGACTCCCACTGCCTGGGTGCATGGTTGTGGTTATTCCTTTGGCCAGTGGAGACCCTCCGACCACATTATTCCGGGGCGGCCCTGCCCCTCCTGCAGGCACCCTGTGGAGAGAAAGCAGAAGGAATTCTGATGAGAGGCTCAGAGGTAATGGCGCCATGTGGGCCTCTGGCAGAGCCTCGCTCTGACCTGCTGGCTCTGAGAGATGAAGGCCAACTCTTCTGGGGACAAAGTCCTAAAACAGTGCTCATCACTGGCAGAAGGGCCCCCTTTACAAGAACTTCATGGGCTGCAAACTGTCAGTGTGAAATATTTAACAAACAGCAACGCCACCCTGAGAAACAGAGGAATGAGCCGAATCAAATCTTTTATACCAGAGCTACTGCCTCAGTTTGTTCTTACAAACAGCTGTGTGTCTCCAGATACACCCAGAAAGAACAGATGACTCAGTCATGTCCCGCGAGGCCTTGACGCATCCAGCACGTTGGGGAAAGGATGGCAAGGATGCTGGCCCCCTCTGGGCACGACTGCCACCTCGCACCTGCTGGCTGCTGGGAAAGGGCACACACAGCACGACGTCCTTCTGAATGTCTGGGAGCTTGCAGTTCCATACCAGAAATAGATGGCCTTTCACTCCGAAGTTTCCAGATGAAATCAGCTCCCACAAGAGGAACACAGCCACTCTGGAAATTGGGCTTTTCACGCTTTCCCTCTGTGTATTTGTACTTAACCCATGTCCTGGAGGTAGCGATGTGAAATAAGGCAGAGTTAGGGGCTTGGAAGCTTCTGTGGATTCAGTTTCAGGGGACTTAAATGTCTTCCATTTGTCCAAGAGCTGGGTAAATTCCCGTTTCCGTCCCTTCAGGATCTTATTCCAAGACACACCAAAAGCCACAGGTGGGAGAACAGGCTGCCTGCCCCTGTCTACTGGGCCTGGTCCAGCCATCTCCCTGTGGCTGGTACCACTGGGCATGACCTCTAGCAGGGAAGCTCCCGGCAACACAGAGTGAGGGCTTTCCGCACAGCAGCTGAGAGGAGAGGGGCCTCTTGGAAAAGGACTCACTTGCTAAGGGAACCTGGGTGGTGTCCTCCTTCCCCAGCCCTCAGAGCTGTGCTGAACTTCACCCCAGCAATCAAGCTTGTTAGCAGGTCAGCCAAAACCATGAATTTAAAAATCCCATTTTCCATCCATCGAGCTCACTTTTCCCCGAGGAAATCATTTTTAAACACTAAAGTGGGCTCACAAATGAGTCACTAATTTGCAAGGTGATATTGACAAGTCTGAACACAACAGACAGACACACATCTGCCTCTCATGACAGCAGAAAACCCTCTCCCTCTGCCCTCATGGCAGGATGGCAGAGATACCCTGGGCTAGTCCTACTTCCTTAGTGCGTGCCGTCATGGAAAGAGCCACACACCGGCTCCCGCACCAGGTTTTTAAATGAACTCAGAATGCTCAACTCTGGGCACTATACTCGCAGCCCCGAGAGCCCACCAGCACTCCAGGGCCTCCCAGCACGATGAGGGCAAGCACAGCTGGTGGATCCAGGTCTATGCAGGAAGGGGTAGGCCTTCGCCCGCCCTCCAATCACTGCCAGATAAGGCATCGCCTTCTGCTGGGTGGCTTTGGCAATTGTCCTGAACCCAGTAGGGATCAAGAAAGTTATAAGTCCTGGGGGCACAGCCTTGGAGGGAGACAGCTGTCTTCCACTTCCGGGGATAAAGACCAAGGCCAGATTTCCTGTTTTGTGCTAAGCTATGGACTGCAGTGAGGGACCCATGGCCTCTAACATACTGACCTGGGGGCAGCCCACCCGGGGGCGGTTCGTTCTGTAAGGAACCAGAGAGGACACTCAATGACCTCCTAACACTGCAGTTACCGGGGCTCGATCTGGAGTGGCTTTTGCTTGATGTTTATTCCTGGCTCTGCCATTCTTTGGAAAACACACACCAAGAGGGCTTGAGGAGAGTGAGCAACCATGAGGTGCACAGCAGAGGTGGAGGGAGGGGCCCGGGCCCCGCTACGAGCTCCAGTGTCAGGAGCTGGAGGATCTTCCCATAACAAACTCCCTGGCAGCAGGAGAAGACAGTTCTTGAGGAGACATTTTGATCAGAACAACTAGATTTCATGTATTGATTCGATCAGCATTTATTGAGCACCTCGTATATGAACATGGTATGCAAGAAGCCAGGGAAACAAAGCTGGAGATGGCTACTGTGGCGCAGGGGCTGGCCTGTGAGGGGGGATCCTGCATGCCTGTAGATGACCTTAACAGGCAGAACTTGTCAGTGGGCTGCTTGGGATGACAAGGTGGGTAGAGCTGTCCAACCCAACTATGGCACAGGCAAGGATGAAGGCCTCCAGGCAAGGCTTCATATAGCAAGTGGACTTAGGACCCAGCTCTTGAAGGATATTCAGTGATTTAATTCAGAAGCAGGAAGAGGGTGGAAGGCATTCCAGTATTGTGGGGGTGAGGGCCGCCTAAGAGAGCTCCCCGTGGTGACGCTGACTGATGCACGTCAGGAGTTGCCCGGCCAGGTGGTGGAGGGCCCCAGTGCCACGCAAAGAAGCTGGACTTAAACCGCAGGCTTTACATCTCTGAAGGTCTGTGGAAGTTCTCAGGTAAAGATAAAGGAAGAATCAGAGGAGAGAAACTGGAAACTGGGAAGCCGATGGCCTCCCTCAGAAGCTGCCGCTGTAACCTGCTGCGTGGAGGAAGAACCGCCTCCTCATACAAGAGTAGGGCGTGTGACAGAGTGATGCCCCCCAGCAGGGCGGGCGAGCCCGGAGGTGTGGACACCTGCCATCTCAGGCTGCGCCTTCCTGGAGAGTTCCAGCTGGTCAGGGAGTCCCCTAATCTAGAGGGGTGACCTGTGCTTTCCTGCAAGGGCTATCTGATGACACGACAGGTGAGCCCAACTCCAGGTCAAGCGCTTCAAGCACAGGCCGGTTGCCGGCTGAGAGACACAACCCGTAGCTACTGGCGTGGGAAATCCAGACCAGAGACCTTCGGGGCTGCGCACGCTGGGCAAGTCACCCCACACCACTGACGAAGCCCCAGAAGGCTGTGGGCAGCTCACCCCCTAAGCAGCCACCCCTCTGACCAGGTGGCTGGGTTTGAGGGGGTGCATTTCCTGAAGCCTCGCTGCAGTTTGCTTCTCAAGCTTTTCCCTGCTGAGCATCACCTGAGCAAAGGATTTCTAACTGCCCCTTTAGCCCTGTGCCTGCAGACCTTTCAGGCTTTGGGCAACTCCATCAATCCCTAGGCCCTTTCTGGGCACCTCGAGAGAGGCCCTGGCTGAAGATTGCCTTGGGAACTAGACCTGTTCATATCAACACCACATGTGTCCCGAGAACACTCTGCAAGTAGGAATCAGCCCAGTAATCAATGCAGGGTCTACGGGTTATTTAATTGTTTCCACTGTAGCCCTGTTCCAAAGACAGGAGAAACCCAAGGCCACATCTTTCACTTGTGTGTGTGTGCTGCAGTGTCAACACAGGGCCATGCCCAGTGAGGCTGACTGATGTCACCAAGCTGTGGACCCTCATCTCAGTGAAAAATTCCCAGACAACCCCCTTGTCTCTTCAGTGACGCTAAAATTACGTATTCTATTTTATAAAAGCAGTAGAACAAAGAACTTATTAAACACTGACAACACAAAGAAAAAACAATCTATTACCACGATGCGACCACTCAACAACTGTTAACCTTTGGGAATATATCATTTTTCCTTGGCATATATGTATATAATGTTTTACATATCACACATCTATATGTGATGACACACAAGCATACATACTGCACACACAAACACACATACTGCATACACACATGCTGTACCTACATTATGCACACGTGCACATAAATTGTGCTTACAGTATGCATACGCACAGGCATGCACACTGCACATACACTGCACACATGTACAAATACCATACACGCAAGCACACAGAAGCGTGCACACACTCTGCACATGCATACACACTGAATATTACTGTATATATGTGCACACACTGTCCTCACATAAACACACACTCACACTTGAGACCTCACTCTGGTGACTTTCCTGTCCCTGCTCCTCCTGTTCCCGTTCTTCTCCCCTTGGTGGCCAATGTCTGCTGAGGACAGTCAAGGAGTTGAGTGCAAACCCAGCTCAGAAGGTGAAATGCGGGTCTGGGGACACCAGCGGGGGCTGAACCCTGGGCGCTGGAGGCCTTGCTGCCTTCTGGGCCCGGCTTATAGAGTAGCCTCCGTCAGTAACAACAGCGCTAAGGCATGTAGGTCCTTGCCCTCTCCTTGCCCAGGCTGCCACCACCATGCCCTCACCTGGAAACGGGTGTCACGTAGTTTCCGGGGAACACCCCAGAGACCCCGGTCCTCAGGGACGCCCCCTTGAACCAGCCATCCTGACACTTCTCGAGGACCCGGTACATCTCTCCCTTGTGCAGCTCCAGCTCGTCACTCTTCTGGGGCTTGTAGGCATAGAGCGCCAGGTACCTGCGGGCAAAGCATGGGGCCAGTGTCAGTGGGAGCCCTCCTGGGGAACAGGGGACTGGCCGGCATTCCTGGGGGGAGGTTGTCTTTGGAGGAGCCCAACCTAAAAAGACCCACAAGTCTCTATGGGGGCTCTGCAGTTTACAGAGGCCCCACACACCCTCCCCGGCTCACTCCTCACAACGAACCCACGAGGCAGGGGAGGGAGGGCGCCTGCAGGGAGCTGCCTGCAGGGAAGGGGTGTGCCTGTCACCCACAGCCTTAGGAGGATTCCACCTGTCCATCTGACAAGATGGGAAGGCAGCTCAGTAAGGCACAGTGACCCCAAAGCCCTCGAGGACTTCTGAACTGCATCCCAGGGCCAAGTCTTTGGACTTTCCGGTGGTTTCCTCTTCTTCACACTGTCTAAAGTCTGATGCTCTGAGCAAGGGAAACCTTAAGGAAAACTGAGGGTGAGCTAAGCTAGTCTTGGGCTGGGTTTTCCTCACTTAATCTAACCTGGACTGGTTTTCCTGCCTGGCTTATCCAATCAACCAGAGCTGGAAGAGACCTCAGAGGCCCTTTTTAAGGGAAAGGTGGTTAAGTTAGAAAACTGTGGTTGCAGACTTCCTTGCAGTAATTGTGCCATGATTAATTATTTGACCTTTTTTTTTTCTGAGACAGTATCTCACCCTGTCACCTAGGCTGGAGTGCAGTGGTGCAAACATAGCTCACTGCAGCCTCAACCGCCTGGGCTCCAGTGATCCTCCCACCTCAGCCTCCCAAGTAGCTGGGACCACAGGTGTGTGCCACCGTGCTGGCTAAGTTTTTTATTTTTTGTAAAGATGGGGTCCCCCTATGTTGCCCAGACTGGTCTTGAGCTCCTAGTCTCAAGCAATCCTCCCATTTCAGCCTCCCCAAAACGCTGGGATTACCCCGGCCTTAATTTTAAGTCTTATTTGCAAACAAGAAAAGATTAAATTTAATGGTGAAAATCCTGGCTTAGGGTTTAGATGCTGTGCCTCCAACTCAGCCCACGGGCCAAGCTACTCTCATAAAATATTTAACTATACCCTCTATCTTTTCCTTATAAGGACTGGATAATACTTACAAAAGTGCTCTGCTACTTTTGGGATTTGGGGAAGGTTGGTTTTGAACGGATGGAGAGAACCGATCAGATTATTTTTATTTGCTCACAAGATTCAGCCACGGAAGCTGGTGGAGGCCTCAGTTCAGTAAGAGACCAAAGATGAATGTTAATGAAGAGTCATCTGGGGGATCTCACACCAGTGCAGGCTGCTGGGTGGGGATGTTGACCCTCTCCAGTGGCTTGTGTACACAGTATGTCTCTGGGGATGTGAGGGAAGCTCACAGAACCCCCACTGCACCCTCCTGATGCTGGAGGAAAGTTCTACAGTGAAAACAGAAACAGAATGCAGCTCACGAGGGCTCAAGCAGGAAAAAAGGAGGACCAGTGTGGAATATTCTAGAACAGCATGAGAACCTTGTAGAGATTAAAAGTTTCTTGGCCTTAACATGAAATCTGCCACCCTTTTCGAACATCCTAATCCTACATAGCAAGGCCCTCTGCCCTCATTCAATGACCTTGGCTATTTCCTTTGTTTACAGGTGTCCCTCATGCCCTCCCCCTAGGGACATCCTGTGGGCTTCAACTGTGGCCGGCATCTTTGTTTCTTTCCCTGTTTGAAATGGTGAACACTGACAGTGAAGTTAGGACCAACTCTGGGCTTCAGGAGGATACACAAAGCCATCAGGAGAGGAAATCCACCTGTCCCCCAACTGTGTTCACAGTTTCAATGCTATGTCCAGGTGACAAATGGAGAGAACCCAGGGTGTGATTCTGTTCTGATCACCATAGAGGAAATACACTAAGGGAAAAGTCCAGTGAAAATGACAAACAACTGCAGCCAACATGTGCCTATGTACTGTGCAGAGAAGCTGGAGGGGAGGAGAGGAGAATGGGGAGGGATGGAGAAGGAGAGGGGATAAGAGAGATGGAGTAGGGGGGAGGTAGGAGGAGGGGGAGGAAGGAGGAGGAGATGAGGAGGGGATGGGAGAGGATGGGGAGAGGATAGAGGAGGAAAGAGAAGGGGAGGGGGGAGGAGGAAAGAGAAGGGGAGCGGAGGGGAGAGTGGCTTCCACACAGCCTGGGCTGAGGCAAAGGAAGGCAGACGAGGAGAGGAAGAGTGCAGAGACGGCTTGGATCTCTGGAAGGCTTGTGAATCAGTAACAATGATGCACAAAGTGATGTGCCTGCTCTCAAAGAAATACAGTTGAGTGTAAATCCTGCTTAAGTTAGCCTCATCTGTTGCTTTATGGTGTCAGAACAGTTTGCTTCAGTGGCCACACGCAGAATGTGCAGCCAGGCTGGCTCCTGGCCAGGGGCGGGTGGTATGCCACTCAGGCCGCACCAGCAGCTCCTTTTAGTTGGTTCTGGGGTCCGGGGCTGCCTTTGCTCTGGAGTGGGGGATTTATCAGCTGCCAAGGCAGGCTCAGAACACGCCCAAGCTGCCGACCACAGCTTATGGACTCCTCTCCCTCCTGCTCCTGGGCTGGGCTGGTAGGCAAGGTGCAGAGCTGGGGGCTCAGTGGCCTGTGTTCCGTGGAGGCCTTATTCCATGGATTGGCTGTGGCTACACGCCGACTGGGGCTGGGCCACTTCTCCCTCCAGACCAATGCTCCCGCACAGCATGGAGCTCGGTGACCTGGGAGCACGGAACCCCTCGCAGGGCTACGCCTGCTCAGGAGGCCCTGTGCAACATGCTTCCTCCCCAGGGCTGTCTGCGGCCTTCTTGCAGAGGTTTCACGGCTGCGGACACAAAAGCTCGAGGGGATGGAGCTTCTGTCCATGGTCACGCATGTTCAGGGGTAGGGCCAGGGCTGGGCTGCTGGAGCTGTCGGTGCGGTCTGGGGCACAGCTGGGGCAGGGCTTGGGCAAGGTGAGAGCGGCAGTCGCACTGAGGTGTGACTCGGGGAGGCTGGGGTCCTGAATGGGGTATGCCGACCCCTCGCTCCAAGCACAGGCCCGGTGTGGCCCACCCGTAGGGAGATGCTGCCCTGACGTGCACCACGGCACTAGTGCACTTGGCCTCTTTGTCTTATTTTAAGTTTGTTCTGTCGATGAGTAATCCTTCACTCTGGTCTCTATTTAAAGTTCAGCCTCTAGGTGCAGGTTGCTGGGGGAAGCGGAATGTAAATAAGCCTGGCTTCACTTTGGAAAATCTCTTCTCAGCGTACCTTTTTTTCCTCTGGGCACCTCGTAGGGGACACCAAAAGCAGATGGATGTGCTGGCTCTGGTTTCTGGCATGCGGCTCGTATTGGGGGGGCCCTGGCCCAGGCGGGGGTCACCTGCATCTGCTGTCCTCCCTGAGGTACTCAAGAGGAGGCCTTGGAAGGACCACACTGAAGAGCAATTTGTGCTGAGACCGGCCCTTCCCAACCTGCCTCCCTCCCACCTCTCAGGGTCTCTGCCGCTGCCCCCTGCAGCCACAGTGGCATCGCCTGTTACCCTGTTTCCCACCAACGTCTGTGAGTTGTGTCCTGTCAGGACTGCCAGTCCAGAGTCTCCTGGCTGAGCTGGACAGCGTCCCCTGCACTCAGTGGCGAGCTAGTCCTCATAGACACATGCACCTGGGCCTGGCATGCAGGGAGAACCGGGTGGCACCTGTAGGTAGCAGGGGTCACATCATCCTAGCTCCTGGGCCCAACTCTCACCTTCCATTTGCTTCAAAACACCTTGGCAGCTCAACACAGGCCCTGCGGAGTGCTCAGGGCATCTCCATAACACTCAAGACCACCCCACATGCTCAGACATCACCTCTGCAGATTCTCACAGGTTGGTACTTCAAGTACTTATTTAAGGCAATCATGGGATTTCAGGATCAGAGAGCCTTCCTCACCACTGCCTGGTAGCGTATATAGGGCTTTCATGCCAATTAGAAAAAGCACCTCTTGAGGACAGGTTGCTGAGGACAAGTACAGCCTCCTCCAGGCATGGTGTGCAGTCAGGCATGGGGGCTAGGGGCTCACTGCACCTGGGACAGTGCACAGACAGGATAGGCTGGCGGCTGGGCCGACTCGGCTGACCCAGCTGGGCATGACATGTGTCTGCTTTCACGTGCAGCCTGTTGAAACTAACAGCACAGCCTTCGCTTACCCATACCACTTCCTTATTTCTATAGCAAGATCTTCACTTGCTGCTAATTGTCTGCAGATTTCTCTTCTGCTCTAATCAGAGTAAACCGAAGTATTTTAGTGCCTCCGCTAATTTCATCCCCTTTCTCCTCTAGATGGTGGCTTGCTCATGCTTCTTCTAAAATAAGTAAACAATTCCCAGTTCTCCTACCAGAAGTCCCACTTCTGCTCTTCTCCCAGGGCCATGCTGGCTCGAGTTAGGGAGGTGTGTGCTTCCTCCTCACCTCTTCCATCCAGGTGCAGCACCCACTCTGCAGGGAAGACCCACAGCAGGAGTGCTGTCAGGGGCTGCACTGGAGGCCAGGAGGCTGGGGAGGGCTGGGTAAGTCCTGCGGAAGGGCTGAAGCAGGCTCAGGAGCTCAGAGGCGACCAGGAACTGCAGGCAGGGCGAGGATGAGTGCAGATGCTCAGAGGAGCGTGCGGGACACCTATTTGTATACAATGGGCTACTGTATAGTATAAACATACTATGCGATAGCATTATGTCTAAAAAAATGTAAATACCTTAATTAAGAAATATTTTATTTGGCCGGGCGC